CCCTCCCTATGCAGCTTGAGCCCCACCACAAAGCACCCTGCACCCTTGGCCTGCACTCTGTGCTGGGCACCCTGGTGGACAGCCTGGACAACTGTGGACAGCAGCTCTGCCTGTGAGGCAGGTACTGTGGCTCAGGGAAGCTGAGTGCCCTGTAATGGTCATGGGTGGGGCGATCACTTCTAACGAACCTATTTCAAGCACACTAAAGAGATCAACCAAGTCCTTGTGGCCCTCCCACCACCGTTGTTGTGATCCTTGTGGCCCTCCCACCACCGGTATTGTGGACTGTATCTCGTTGTCACCAACTCACCAGTTTAAACCTTCTCTACCTTCCACAGAGGATAGCAACCAAATATTTTTCTGACATCTAATTTGTAGATTACCACCAATCTGTACTTGCTAATCTATTACTTTGATAATCATTTAAAAAAGACATGTTGGGCTGGAGAGATGGCTCAGTGGTCTAAAGCACCTACTTGAAACAAGCTTGGCAAAGCACAGGGACTGTGGTTCAATCCCCCAGCACACCTGCCAGCCAGCCCCGCCCCCTGGTGGGCTGAGCTGGCCACACACACACACAATAAATAAATGTAATAAATAAAAATAAAAATAAATAAATATTAAAAAAATAATAAAAAAATAAATAAATAAGACATGTTATTCTGAAAAGGAGTAGGGCAGTAAAAAGGGCAGATTCATAATGATACAGGGAAAAAAACTGGTCTCAGGTGGGTGACCTCCAAATGACACAGGGCTCTGGACCTGATCTGCACAAGTTCATGTTCTCTAAAACCTTAGAATGAATTTTAGGAACAAACAGAGGTTATGAGCAGAATATATTTATTGAGAGAAAGAAAGCTCCTGTCCCAAGAGAGGGCGGGGGGGGGGGGGGCGAGCAGGTAGCCCCCCCCCACCCCAAGTTGTCTCTTGCAGGGACTTTTATAGAGGAAAACCATGTGGTAAGGCGGGTCTAAGGTGGTGGAGAAGACGTGGGAACTTACTTAGTTGGGCACGAGGTGGGACAAAACTATGGTCAACCATTGAGATTACAAGCACCATTGCTCAGGTAAAATTGATTAAATCCAGTAACAAATGGGAAAGCAAGTCACGTAACAGGGTCTCCTCCTGTTGCGGGTTGGGCTAGTGACTCATTTGGGCTTTCAAGTTGATTGATACTATTTAGTATATCAATCCTAATGCCCATCCCTAGGGAAGTATGTAGCTGTGCTTCCTCTTTTTGTCTTGGTCTTGAGGTGGGGACCATATGGGAGTGTCTCTCTTCCAATTTGCAAAGTCACCTTGTCTTCCATCTTGTCCCCTTGAGAGCCTGACGCTGTCTAACTGCCTATAATATTTCTATCTAACTCGTTTGCCTACAACAACATTCAGGGGCTGGGGAGATGGTTCAGTAGAATAAGTGCTTCCCTGGCAAGCGCAAGGGCCTGAGTTTAATCCCTGGTTCTGCAAAAAAAAAAAAAAAAAACAAAAAAAAAAACACAAAAAACAATATTCAGGTATTATCTTGAGTTGCAAATTTTGTGCACTGGCAGTCTATTCAATACCTAAACAGAAAAAAACTAAAAATTATGCGGGTCTTGGTGAATTCTCCTTCTAAAATAGAAAGATAGGTGTTACTAACGGGTCAATATTGGCAAGGCAGGTTCCAACTTCTGGGGTTTTTTCCTTTCTTTTCTTGGGTGCCCAGTAGTATTCTACGGCTGGGTGATGCTCAAGGGACAGATTAACTAGAAGTCCCCACCCTTCCCTTGTAAACCCACCCTTTACTTCTCTGAGGAGCAGGCAGCAATCCCTACCTGCCGTGCCTCTGTGATCTGGACACCTGTCATATAACTTCTCCCAGCGAGGAGGGAAGACCCGTGTGCTGGGTCTGTGGACTGTTGGTGTGCTTCATTTGTGACGCTGTTGTATGTACACTGTACGCTTTTATTTTCTTGAGGCGGTTCTTGCTATGCAGACCAGGCTGACCTTGAACTCCCTATGTAGCCCAGGCTGGCTTCACACTCACAGCGATCCTCCCAACTAACCCTTCCTAAATGCTAGGGTTTTAGGCGTCCTTCACCACTTCTAGTTGGACTGCACTTTCTGAGACCAATCGCTGGAGACTGGTATGATGGCAGGAGCCTGTAATTCCAGCTACCAAGGAGGCTGAAGCAGCAAGCTCACAAATGTGAGGCCACCCTGGGCAAGTTAGCAAGACCCTGTCTCAAAGTAAAATAAAAAGGGTTGGATATGGAGCTCAGCAGCAAGCTGAGGCCAGCCAGAGCTGGGCTGTGGGAGGGCCTAGGTTCAATCTCCAGTTCCTAGAAAATAACAGGCAGGTCACTGAGCAAACTGAGATAGTTTTCAGGAGTTTATTTATTCATAGGCTACAGGATGTAATAATTGAGGAAGCCCGCCAGGTATTCCTGGATTTACCTCTCTGTAAGAGTCTGTCTTAAATGCTCTGCCCTGAAAGTGCAGTTTAGATTCGGGGCAGCCACTGCAGAGCCAACCACTGTGGGCGGTGTGAGCATCCCCAAGCAGCCAGCATGAAGAAAATTAGCACGCACTGACAGGGAATCACTAGGGCTCGGGACCACTGTTTTCCCAGCAAACCTCCCACCCGAGTGACTGGTACCCAAGAAACACCAACATGACGGCCAATAGCAAAGAATGGATCACACGCTTTCAAAAGGCAGAATGTAGTTAGTGTGGACTACAATCTGCTCAAGCTGATTAGATATTCTGACAGCCATTCCAGCCTCAGAAGTGAGCCTAGCCTGGCTGAGGGCAGATAACCCACAGTGTCATATTTAATTTTTAGGCCTGACCGTTAGGCTTGGCCCAGGGCGAGCATGTGTTTGATCAGATCTATGCAAGCGCAGGAGCCCCCCCCCCCCAGGGGAAGTCCTGGCTTCTGGCTCAGTGACAAGGCCACGTGCTCTTGGACAGGCTATCTCACCCCACCTGCATCAGTTTTCTCATGCGCACAGTGAGGGAAACAGCCCTGCTCTCCTGCCTGCTGAGAAGCTGTGAAGATGGGATGAGGCGCTGTTGGCGGCTGCAGAGACTCACAGAGTTCCTGGCAGAACCCCGAATCCTGTCTGCCTTTCTCATTTAACTCTCTGCGTACTTTACGTATTGTAAATTTCACCTACCCCATTCCTGCAGCAGGATCCTCTTGACAGTGTCATTTGTAGAACTGGAATTGATGTATGTGCAGTTGCCCTATTTATCCAAGTTCTCTGCAATAAGAAAAAAAGCTGGAATTGTGAAGAAAATTAAGACCAAAATAGCAGTAGCCCAACAGCACACAAAATTCTCATCCTGATAGGCTTTTTTTCTCGGATGACACCAAAATCTAAGTTCAAAGCAAATTCTGGTCAAGAGCTAGGCCTCGGGGCTGGTGAGATGGCTCAGTGGTCTAAAGCACCTACTTAGACCAAGCTTAGCAAAGAACCTAGACCGCGGTTCAATCCCCCAGCACCACATGCCAGCCAGCCCTGCCCCCAGGTGGGCTGAGCTGGCCACACACACACACACACACACATAAATAAATAAAAATTAAAAAAAAAAAAAAAGAGCTAGGCCTCACTTTCCGCATTTTTTCCTTGCCCTCCATCTCCTCCCACGAGGTGAAATGCTGACTTCGCGGGCTGCTGGCCTAAGCACGCTGGGCGCCGCTTGGACCACGCGATCTGTGTATGCTGAATATTTATAAGAGAGAAAAATTTAAAAACCTAAATTGTTCTGTTCTCACCCTGAATTTTTGCAAAGAACAAGAAATATGTTCACCATATTTCGATCCGAGATGCCACTGCTTCTGAGACATACCATGTTTTATATAACACAAAGAAAGAAAAAGCTCTAGTAGTTAAAATATGACACCGTGTTTCCATGTTATGTCAATCACAAGATCTTATAGATATTAAATATGAAAAAGTGTGCATCTTCAAATATATGAGACGTAATATTTTTACCTCTTACAAAAGGCAAAGCTTTCTTTTCTTGATCCTGGTGGAATAAATTAGCGACCCTCACACTGTCTTGCATCTAGCCTCAGCGCCTTGCAGGCGTGCACGCTACGCAATCGCGCGTCTGCGTGGGCAGGAGGGGCGCATTGATTCTATTTTTCCAGCGGATACACTTACACAAAGTCTGGGCGTGGCTGCAGATTCAGGTGAGCACAGCTTGTAACAGACCTGTCACAGCAGAAGCCAGCCATTCTGTAGTCTGTGTTCATTGCAAGATTTAAGAATAAGAAATGTTTCAGGGCTTTTGACACACCGATTGTTTTCTTTCTCCCAGGCAGTGCCTTTTGGTGTTTTTTTTAATGATTGATTTGGCTGTTTTGCTGTTGTTGTTCAGTTTATTTTAGTCCAGCTTAAGCAGCTACACAGCGTGTTCCTTCTCGCACAGAGGAATGAAGGATGCACCGCGTCGTGATGAGGGCAGGCACACCGCCTGCCCGGGCTGAATAGGACATTTTCATAATGCAAGTGGGACTCTGTCATCTTTCTGGGCAGAAAGGAGCAAGAGGAGTACGGAGCACTAAAAGAAATATAGCTTCTGGATTTCTGACAATCCTTTGTAAAATGTATTGCGGCCAGCTCTTCCATTCAGAAGGCCTTTCCCTTCAGACTGTCTTCATTCAAAAAAAAAAAAAAAAAAGAACGTCTTTATTCATAACTTCTATAGTTTAAGATGAAAAAAACTCTCTGTTTATAGCTTGTTCTTACCCTAACCCTCTGATCCCTCAGAAGAGAGTCAAGCAAAAAGAAATGTATTTTGGGGCTGAGAGCTGGCTGGATGAAAAGAAATGAACCGAATTGCTGTGGTCCTCAGACCTGCTTTGTAGGGCTGTGGGTGGCTAGCAGTTTCCCTCCAGGAGTCGCTGGAGGTCACTATGACGGTGGGTGCCGGTGGCCGTGTGCTGGGCACGATGCTGTTCACGTGTACTTGCTGCTCACGCACCTCTTCCCTCGGTTCTCTCCTTGCAGTCCGAGTACCACTACGAGTACACTGCGTGCGACAGCACCGGCTCCAGGTGGAGGGTCGCCGTGCCTCACACGCCCGGCCTGTGCACCAGCCTCCCGGATCCCGTCAAGGGCACCGAGTGCTGTAAGCAGCGTCCCAGCTCCAGCGCCTCCCTGCCGCTCAGCTCTGCTCCCCCCACCCCCCACCTCCTGCCTCTGCCTTAGGCTCTTCCTGACAGCGCAGCTGCCTTGAGGAATCAGCCCATTCTCTCACTTAGTCCTCACTCCCAATCTTGGGAAACCCCGGGGCAGAAATGTTAGAGCACTGGTGTAAACTTGGTATCTAAATTTGCTTTTTTGGGGGGGCTGGAGAGATGGCTCAGTGGTCTAAAGCACCTACTTGGAACAAGCTTGGCAAAGCACAGGGACCGCGGTTCAATCCCCCAGCACCACATGCCAGCCAGCCCCGCCCCCTGGTGGGCTGAGCTGGACACACACACACACACACACACACACACACACAATAAATGTTAAAAATAAAAAAATAAATTTGCTTTTTTTAAAAAAATTCAAATCCTATTAATGGATAGAGCATCAGCAATTCCAGCTCTGTGCCACTCAGGTTTGTTGTCCCGTTGTTTGCATTCATCTTCTTTTTTGCCTGTGTGCTTCCCGCCAGTCTACACTCACCAGCTACTGTCAGTTGTGAGGGCACATTGCACTTTTGTTCTTGAAAGGGAAGCAGAGAAGATGCACTGAGCAAAGTTCTCTGCAGAGAGAACTTTGAAATGCACTGAGCATCCCTTCAAGGGATCGCTTCCTGGCGGTGGGGCTGGCCGTGCAGCAGTGACCCTGCCCTCGGTGACCCACTTCTGCCTCTGCTTGGCCGCTATTTCCTTTGCATGGTTCTTTTAGGAAAGCAAAGAGAAAGAATAAAAATGCGAGGCTAGAGTTAAGGAATTACTCAAAGAGTTGGAAAGGAGAGAGAGGGAATTTAAAATCTAGAATCAGCTGAGGCCAGTGTCTGGTTCAGTGAGTGAGCAAATAAATATTTGTTAGATCTATGAATGGATGTTGCTGAACTTGAAGCAGAGGTATGACTATCCAAGAGCCATCTTTGGCTAACTTGGTGACATGAGTGAGTCCCTACTATGTGTAACTCCTACTACGTGCAGGCATTGTGATATGCCAGTGCTGTGGGGACTGCGAGGACAAATAAGACACAGACTCTGGCTGTGAGAGCTCACAGCATGGAGGAATGGGCAGGCATTCACTCTCCTGTCTGTGGTTTCAGCCAAGTGTGGTGGCATCCTGCGGTGTCTGTGCCAGCCACCTGGGGAGTGGGGATGGGCAGAGTCTAGTGGGTGGCACATGAGCAGGGATTATGGGTATGGAATTATGAAGACCAGCTGGGAGGGTCACTCGAGCAAAAATGTGGGGGTGGAAGTACAGGGACACACTCCAGGAGGTGCTTGGGGCCAGGGTGGAGGCAGCGGAGGACAGATGATGGGTAGGGATGAGGTGGAGAAGGGGCTGGAGTGGGGTGTCAGGCTGGAAACTTAGACTGGAGGAAAGTCACAGAAGGCTTTCAATGCCAGGCTAAGAGTTTAAATCTATAGCCAAAGCAAGTCCCTGATTGTTTTTTTTCTTTTTGAGACAGTTTTACTCTGTAGTCCAGACTGGCCTCTAACTTGCATGGATCCTCCTGCCTCAGCCTCCCAAGTACTAGGGTTAAAGGCATGCACCACCACACCTGGCCCCTAGTTATTATTATTATTATTATTATTTTTTTTTTTTTTTTTTTTGCGGAACTGGGGATTGAACTCAGGCCCTTGAGCTTGCCAGGGAAACGCTTATTCCACTGAGCCATCTCCCCAGCCCCCTAATTATTTTTATTTTTTTAAATCTATTTTTATTATTTATTTTATGTGTGTGTGTGTGTGTGTGTGTGTGGCCAGCTCAGCCCACCAGGGGGCGGGGCTGGCTGGCATGTGGTGCTGGGGGATTGAACCGCGGTCCCTGTGCTTTGCTAAGCTTGTTCTAAGTAAGCGCTTTAGACCACTGAGCCATCTCACCAGCCCCCTAATTATTTTTAAATAAAGAAAATAAGAGTGCAAATCTATTTTAGAGAGATATCTCTGACTACAGAATGAGCAAGAAATAAGAATTTGGAAACTGTCGCTAGGAGAGTACTGCAATGGCTGCATCCGATGCATGCGGGTAGGAGAACAAGAAAGGAAGAGATGGTGGCCAGAGACCCCAGGGAGAGGCTCAAGGCTGAAGCGCCAGGTCATCGCTGGGGCCACGTCCTCTTCCTTGGAGTGCTCGCCGAATGCCTCGTGTCTCTCCAAGGGTGACAAGGTCATCCGGGATGAGCCCTGTGCCCACAGCAAGGCCCTAAATCCTCTTTTAGATAACAACTTTATTTGACATGCAATACATGCCACAAACTTCACCCCTGGAGTGGTTAATTTCAGTGACTTTTTCAGAAGGTTCACAACAGCCATTGCCAGCAAGTTTCAGAGCATTTTAATTGGCCTGAAAAGAAACCTCCTAGCATTAGCAGAAAGTCTCCCCAGGCCCCAGCCCCAGCCGCTGGTGGTCACAGGTCCACCTTCTCTCTGCATGGCTGCATGTGCTATGTAAACTGTACCACAGGGGACATGCCATGCCTTAAACCCCAGTGGGCTGAACTGCGCTGAGCGTCCCCCTTTAGAATGCCCTCGCCTCAGGGCCCACAGTGACCTCACCACCCCTCCCTGTCCCTACCTGCTCTCCAGCTTTCTCTTGCAACGCTGGGGAATATCTGGATATGAAGGACCAGTCGTGCAAGCCGTGCGCCGAGGGCCGCTACTCCCTCGGCACAGGCATCCGGTTTGATGAGTGGGATGAGCTGCCCCACGGCTTTGCCAGCCTCTCCGCCAACATGGAGATTGATGACAGCACCACGGAGTCCACTGAGAACTGCACTTCGTGAGTTTGCTCGGGCAGCCCCGGCCCCGGGTACCTGGGATGGCACCTTCTGGAGCTCCTCAGGTCAAGGGTGAGGGTAGGGGTGGAAGCAAAGCTGTGGGCTGGGTGGGGAGGCATGGAGCAGGGCCCCCAGGCCTGCTAGATGTGGCTGCTGCCTCAGGTCGCTCTAACCCAAGCTTATCAGTGGCTGGTGGGCATACATGCGAGTGACAGGCCTGGAGAGATAGAGGGGGCTCAACGAGGGTGACGAGTGTTGGTTAAGTGGCCAAGATCTTCCAACTCCTCTGAGATCCCAATGGCCAGAAAACTTTCCACATGGAGATCTTTGCCAGTGATGGAGAAGCCCAGGGTGGTTTGGCGACCAGATGTTTATTTCAGACTTGCCTTTTATGTCCCCAGCACTATGCTGAAAACTATATATATTGCTTTCTACAATTTGCACAAGAATCCTGTGAAGTAGGTGGTATTTTCCTACATGGTCCTTACTACAAAAAGGAGAAATTGGAGGCTCAGTGAGGTTAAAGCCATCTGCCTTGACTACCTAGTTTACAAGTAGGGAGACTGGAATTCAAACCCAGCCCCAAGTTTTCAATTCCCTATATGGCCACCTTCAAATAACATTATGTGCAGTGCAGTGTGGGAAATTGTGCAAATAGCAGAGTATATATTGCTTTTGTTAAATATTGATAATGAGTATAGGTAGAAAGGAAAGAAAGCAAATAGATTTAAAAAAAAAAAAAAAAAACCCTGAAGCAGTTGGGTGTGGGGGCACATGCCTGTGATCCCAGAACTCAGGAGACTGAGGCAGGAGGATCACCATGCGTTTGAGACCAGCTTGGGCAACTTTGCTTAAGGCCAGCTTGAACTACATAGTGAAACCCTGTCTCAAAACAAACAAGACTGAAGAATTTTATTACATGGCGACTTTGAAAACTAGGAGCAATTTTTCCACTACTGTACTTAAATCCCTGATAAGTATGAATGTCTGAGCCACTAGCAGACATTCAGTGATACAATTATAATGCTTTTTACAATGCAGTTTATCTGTTATAATTATTCTTATGTGAAAGCTAGAGAGGGTGCGAGGCAGAGGCGAGGAGGAAATGTGCGAAATGTGCGAGATAAGACAGCCCACTCAAACCCATTAATGGATGTCATTCGACCCTGGTCAAGGCGCAGACCTGGCTCACTTAATCAGTTCCTATGCATGCGGAGGAAAGGTTTCACCTCTCTCCAGGGGCTGTGCCCACAGCCCAGGACCCATTACCTCCCCGCGAGGCAGGATGTGGGCCTGTTAATAATGGCCTGTGTTTCCCAAGCACAGGTTGGCTCAGAGCTTCTATCCTGAAACCCAGCAACATCCTGGGAAGGTGGGAAAGATGTTCCTTTTCTGTGGAAATGGAGCAGAAATGACCACCTGGAGAGATTCCGAGAGGCAATGGTTGATCGGGTACCAAGAGCCCAAATGTCTGGCTTTCGGGTTCCACCTGAGTCCATCTCCCTTGCCTACTTTGCCTCAAGACCTCCCAGCTGGTTTCCTGCTTCCACTCCCTACCTCCTCCAGCCCACCCCAACCCAAAAGCCAGACTGATCTTCAGAAGATGACCAGTCACGGGACTTTCCTGCTCAAGACCTTGGGTTCTGTGGATGCCCACTGCTCTTGGGATAAAAGGCAGTACCTTCCAGCAGCCTGCAGGCCTGCCCTCTCTCCCCTGCCCTTTGACCCCTGCCCCTTGGCCTCCACCCTCCTACTTGCCTGTGCTGCTGCAGCCACACTAGCTGCCTGATTCCCTCCCTCCCCAGGGTCTTGGAGCAGCTTCCCCCCATTCCTTTCCTAAACGACCCCTCCTTAGCCCTCAGGTCTCATTAGCAAGGAAGATAGAGTAGAAGACTAAATACTGTGCCTATGAAACAAGGATGTGTGCATGATGGTCCAAATATTAAAAAAGACAGATGTTTAAAATAAAAAAAAAAAAATACAGCTCATGCTGGATGACCCACAGCGAGCTTCCCAGTCACCTCTGCTCTCAGTTTCCTCATCCTAAAAAGTGAGAGAAATGGTGCTCTTAGGGATCAGGAAGGCATGTGTAAAGGACTGAGAACAAGGCCTCTGGCACTAGAGATCAACCAAAATGTGCTGCGTTGTGGAGAATGTGAAATGCCTCTGCCGGAGTCAAAGCTGACAAAAATCAGAGTTGTGATACATTTTGCAAATGTAACCCACTTATGGCACCCTTTTAATTATTCATTAAACTTCGGGAGTTATTTATAACTGATGCTGTGGAGTGCATCAGCATTAAATGTCTCTCTCAGCAAGGAGGATCAATGCCATTAGGTCAGCTGGAGCGTTTCGGATGAGCTCCGTTTGTTTCAGTTCTGAGAATAATACTGAGGTCTGTGCCCTCGCCGCACCTAGGGCAGCCAGGAGGACAGACAACAGAAGAGAAATTCAAATCAAGAATGGTCAGAAGAGGAAGCCCAGATGGTACACAGCTTCACCAAAGAGGCTCAACTTCATTAGTGATACAGGAAATAAGATTTAAAGCCTAATTAGATGTTCATTTCCTACCACTTTGTATTGGCAACAATTGTAAAATTGGACAGCTCCAGATCTGGGGGGAATGTGGAGCCTGCGAAGGCGAACTGACATAAACTGGCTGGGGAACAAGGCAGCAAACCTGCGGGAAGTGGCTGCCGAGCATTTTCTCAGCTCGGATAAGGATTCCAAAACTAGAACACTCATAACAGAGTGGGTGCAGTAGCAAAAGCTGGAAACAGTCTGCTTGTTCATCAGCGATAAATAAATGAATGCGGTAGAGCCATAAATTGGGGATTATGCAGTAGCAGACATGAAAAGAATAAAAAATTAAAAGGGGGGTGCTGGGGAGAGAGCTCAGTGGCATAAGCGCTTGCCTGGCAAGTGCAAGGTCCTGAGTTCAATCCCCGGTACAAAAAAAAAAAAAAGAAAGAAAGGAAGTCAGGGCATGTTGCTCAGTGGTTGACTACAGGCTTCACGTGTATAGAGCCCTGAGCTTGAGCTCATGTACCATCAAACCACTAAAAAAAGAGAGGGGAGGGAGCTATATAATGAGAAGATGGATAAATCCTACAATCGTTCCCTAAAAAATAGTTTTATTCATAACATGTAAGTATGATGTCCTTTACATAAATTTAAAAAAAGAAGTCAGGCGTGGTGATAGACACCTGTAATCCTGGCAGTCAGGAAGCTGAGGCAGGAGGATTGGCAGCTAGGCTACTTAGTGAGTTCAGGTCCAGCCTGAACTATGTAGCAACACCCTACCTCAAATGACCGAACAGGGCTGGGGATATAGCTCAATAGCACAAGGCCTGCCTGGCAAGTGCGAGGTCCTAAGTTTGATTCTCAGTATCCCTCCCCCTAAAAAGCTCCAAACAAAGAAAAATAACTTAAAAACATTCAAAGCGCTATCATTTAGTATGTTTCAGGAACTTTGTGGGGAATTTTAAACACCAGATTCAGGAAAGCTGTCCCGTGCCATTGAGGAAGGGCTATGTTAGGCAAGATTAGGTGGGGCTGCAAAAATGTTTCTGTTGTGCTGTATTTTTTCTCTTAGTATTGAAGATTAAATCCAGGGTGAACTGAGCTATGTTCCCAGAGCTTTTCACTTTGGGATGGGTCTTATTAAGTTACTCGGGTTGGCCTCAAGCTTGGCGGTGTCCTGCTTTGGCCTCCCAAGTGCCGGGGATTATAGGTGCGCACCACATCACCCGGATTGAGCTGGGTTACTTGTACAGGGTGACGGGCACAGGCATGCTCAGTGTAGCCCGGTATGGCACAATGAGAGTAGCTTGTAACACTGAACATAAAGCAGAGTGGGGTTATAGGTACGAGAAGAGAAACAGAAAGCTAAGGGCCCCATAGTAAAAGCAGGTAGAATCAAGGAAGACTTCTTAGGGTAAGTGGCATTTATGCAAAGACAGGAGGAAGAATTAAACAGAAGGGGAAGGAAGAATTTCATTTCAGAAAGAGCAAGCTCGTGAAAGGAGTTTGGCAAAAGAATTGGGAGAAATTTCTTAGGGCTCGAGTAGGAAGAGTGGGCCGTGAATTTATCTCCTGTCCTAAGGTGGCAGGGAGTTAGTCACAGGGGTTTTCAGCAGGGGAGTTGTGTGGTCACATTGTCCTTCTGAGGGGTGGTTCTGGCCACAGCCTGGAGAGGGCTGGGGTGGGGGACAGGCTGGATGCATCAGAATGTGGACAGCTCCAGACACACAGGGGAACCTGACAGGATGAGCTGATGAGCTCTGAGGAGCAGCTGGGTCTGCTGCCGCGCTGGAGCCCCTGTGGGGTCAGCAGACGTGGGATGGAATCCCAGCGCTGCCATGGGATGGCTCCGTGGTGCTGGGCAAGGCAGTTTCATCATCTACTAGGTGGAAGAGAGAGCTTTTCCCCGCACTGGAGAAAATGAATCATGAATACAAAACATGTAGTTCCATACCTGAGTGATACTAAGCGTCCAGCAAGTGCTTCCTGCCTTCCACTTCACCTGCCCCGACCCACTGGGGCAGTTCTAATAATGCAGGGTAACCTGGGTGCTTCCTCTTCTTGCCCAGGTGCTAGGCTCCCTGGTCTCTGCAAAGGCCCTTTAGCAGCTTCTCACTGAGCATTTTCAGGCCTAAGCCTTGGCTTCTGAATCCCGGTCCGGAGTCCCCATTCAGCCAGCAGGCCGCGGGAGCTGCCCAGTAATTTTATTTATTTATTTGTGTGTGTCCAGCTCAGCCCACCAGGGGGCGGGGCTGGCTGGCATGTGGTGCTGGGGGATTGAACCGCGGTCCCTGTGCTTTGCTAAGCTTGTTCTAAGTAGGTGCTTTAGACCACTGAGCCATCTCACCAGCCCCATGCCCAGTACTCCTGATGGTGAGTGTTGTCCTGTTCCCTCACAGGTCCAAGTGGGTTCCGCGGGGTGACTACATCGCCTCTAACACGGACGAGTGCACGGCCACACTAATGTATGCCGTCAGCCTGAAGCAGTCAGGCACAGTGAACTTTGAGTACTACTACCCAGACTCCAGTATCATCTTTGAGTTTTTTGTAAGTCCCGGAGGAGTGGGAGGAAGGGACATAAAGGCCTGTGAGGTTTAGATTCCTTTGCAGTACTCCGCTGCAGTGTGATCCTGCTTGGGAAATCTTAGTTGTTTTTCCTCTGGAGAGGACTGTAGGCAAATTCGCAGAGGCCTCAGGAGGCAGGGAAAGGCAAAAGTGAGGGGACCCTGGGGCAGGGCTAGAATCTGTGAAATTTCTAGGTGTTTCTCCCTGCTCAGACATGAAAAGAGCATACAAATGGCTGAGCTGCAAATTACTTCTTTGATGTCAGTGCTCTGTGTGTGTGTGTGTGTGTGTGTGTGTGTGTGTGTGTGTGTGTGTCAGTCGTAGAGGAATTGGCAACTCTCCTCCTGTAGGAAAGGGCCCCTGTAGGGCCGTAAGGCATGGACTAAGGCCCTTATTTCCTTCATTTCCTGTTGCCTCAGGTCCAAAATGATCAGTGTCAGCCCAATGCAGATGACACCAGATGGATGAAAACCACAGAGAAAGGATGGGAATTCCACAGTGTGAGTGTCACACCAGCCTTCCCTGGAGGTCCCAGAGGAGGGCCAGGGGCCTGTCCTCAAGGAGACTTCCTCTGTGTCCCTAGAGGGCAAGGGTCTGAGAAGAAGAGAGTGTGCCGGCTCCTGCTCTCTCAGTGGGTGGGAGATGGATATAGGGTGGCCTCTTATTTAAGCTTCACCCCAAGCACCAGCATCTTTCCAGCTTAAGGTCCCAAGCTTTCTGGAGAATGAGGTGACACCAGGCACCCTACTGCCAGTTACCTTGTGTCCCTTTATTGGTCTCACTATAAGAGAGACTTGTGGAACCTGTGATGCAAAGAACAGTGGGAGATGGTACAAGGGGGCTCTAGAGGGGGCTTGCAGAGAGGAATGAGCTAAGCTGGGAAGGGCAAAGAGGAAGAGGATGGAGACCATCGGGGACGGGCAGCATCTGTTTGGTAAGAGACTAAATGGGCAGGTTAGCGATGCCCAGCTTCGCCATGGACTAGCTAATGCCTTGTTGTCATTTTTAGGTTGAGCTGAATCGAGGCAATAATGTCCTCTACTGGAGAACCACAGCCTTCTCTGTGTGGTCCAGAGTTTCCAACCCTGTGCTGGTGAGAAACATCGCCATCACAGGTACCGAGGACAGGGCTGGAACTTGGGGTCTTTCGCTGACTTCTGGCCTCTTGCCTTTGCAGGGAGAGGTGGTCAGTCCCCAGGGCCTGTGCATCCAGGCTCAAGCCGTGCTCCTCTGCATGTTCTTCCTTAGGAGTGGCCTACACTTCAGAATGTTTCCCCTGCAAGCCGGGCACATACGCAGCCAAGCAAGGCTCCTCTTTCTGCAAACTTTGCCCGGCCAACTCCTACTCAAATAAAGGAGAAACTTCTTGCCACCCTTGCGACTCTGACAAATATTCAGGTGAGGTTTGGGGAGTGGGAGAGTTGGGTGGAAGATGACAACCCACAGGGAGGAGCCAGGCGATGGAGCCATCCTGGCCAAGCCAAGGCTGATAAATCATAAACCTTTCCTTTCTAGACCCTGGAAGCTCCTTGCCAATCCATATCCACCAATTGCCCCAGAAATAAGTCAATAAATATTTGCTGAACCTTTTCTATCTTCCAGGTCCTATTCTAGTGCTTAGAATATACTGGCAAAAAGTCCCTGTCTTCATGAAACTTACATTCTAGTGGAGGGAAAGCAGACGATAAGCAAGAAGCATGAGAAATAAATGGCTTATGCATAACAAATTATGTAGTATGTTAGGTTTGATGGCAAAAAGAAAAAGCAACTCAGACCTAGAGGAATTAGGAAAAACAGGGAAAGGTTTTGTAATTCTTTTTCCAAGCAGTACAATCTGTTTTATTTCATTAAAACCTATATGGTTATAATTATAGTCAATAAATACAAAAGCTAGGGCTGGGAAGATAACTCAGTGGTCTGCTTGCCTGTGTGGCAAGCACAAGGACCTGGTTCAACCCCCAGTACTGCGTGCCATGCCAGTCCCAGAACCCAAGGCACACCTTTCTGGCCACCAAAACTGGGTGTGGTGGCACATTCCTATCACCCCAGCCCTGGGGAGGCTGAGACAGGAGGATCACTGAGAGTCTGAGCTGTATATCAAGACCCTGTATCCCCCCCAAAAAAAATTTAAAAATATATAGAAGTTAAATATTTATATATTTTAACTTATTACAGGTTTTTTTTTTCTTTTTTGAGGCAGGGTCTTGCTATATAATTCAGGCTGATCTTGAACTCACTGTGTAGCCCAGGCTTGCCTCAAGATCATAGTGATCCACCTGCCTCAGCCTCCTAGATGCTGGAGTTATAGGTGTGTACCACCACACTCAGCTATAACAGCTATTATAACCACGTGGTTGTATTGATGAGCACAAATATTAATGTTTTATTTTATTTTTAAATGACAAATGATAGTGTATATATTTGAGCCATCATGTTTCAATATACTGTATTTATATTTTGTGGATCAAATCAGACTAACAGTGTAACCATTCTGATAGCAAGAACTGAAAATGGAAGTTAGGATCTTTTTTCAGACTAAGCATCCATTGTATTCAAAGCAGTGACATATGCATATGTGTTCTGACACCTTAGCCTCTTGGGTACCTGGGACTGCTAGGCATGGTGGCACACACCTGTAAGGCCTGCACTTTAGGGAGCTGAGGCAGGAAGGTCACAAGCAAGTGTGAGCCCAGCCTGGACAACTGAATGACTTAGTGAGACTCTGTCTTAAAATTTTTAAAAATATAAAATCTGGAGATAGAGCTGAGCGCAGAGTCCCGGGGTTCCATCCTCAGTGTGGGGGTACAAGGGCACTGGGGCACAGGTGTGAGCCCACACACTGGGCTCCAAAGCAGGCATTTCTGAACAATCTGGGCTGCCTTGGAGCACAGCTTGAGACCCACCGCTCTAGGGCCATTCGGAAGCAGCCTCGCTATCTAACCCTGGATATGGTAGCTTCCTAAAACATCTTAATTGAAGAAACAAGAGCCATCATTTGAAGAAGTGTCAGGGACGTCAAGGCTCTGGGGTAATTCAGGCAGGGCACCAAGGGTCTCTGCCAGAGCCAGTGACTGGCACAAGCATCTCCAAGGCAGGTTTGAAGCAATAAGCAGGGAGAGAGTTTGCTTTTGTCCTTTGAAACACTCATCACTAGTCTGTTTTTCTTTTTTACATAGAACCACATAGAACCTAGCACAAAGCCGTCTCTCCAGTAGACCCCATGTCCCCAGAGACACCCACACTCCTCACAGGTGCTGTTTGCTTAGCTAAGACCAGCCATGACCTTGTGAATTGCTTAATTTCTACACTTCTAAAACAAAAGACCTATTTATGTACGCCGATCTTGCCAAATCATGAGCATAGTTTTCAGCCAGAACAAGAAAGTGTAGATCTTGGAGGAAGTTTTTATCTATAAGTCTAAATTCCTGTTTCTCCACTTGAATTTCTTACTTCCCGTCCTGCTCTGCCTCTGTCAATGGGGGCCTTTGTTGGTCTGGCTTGGCTCCCTTTCCGCTCAACAGTTGTGCAAGGGTTTGAATGGCAGGGTGGTTCTGTTGTGACCGCCCGGGCGCGTTTGGATCATCTCTTTGTGAACTGAATCTTGGCCAGGGAGCCGCTGTGAAGTGCTGAGGTGGGAGTCTGCTTTCTTCTGCCATCAATTTTTTTTTTTTTTTGGTGGAACCGGGGATTGAACTCAGGCCCTTGTGCTTGCCAGGGAAGCACTTATTCTCCTGAGCCATCTCCTCAGCCCTGCCATCAATTTCTTGAGCTGCCCCTTCAACTGGGTAGTGAGTTTTCATTATGAAGAACAAGGGCTGAGGAGATAGCTCAGTAGAATAAGTGCCTGCCTGGCAAGCACAGGGTCCTGAGTTCAATCCCCAGTACCAGATTGATGAAGACCAAGGTTACCTTGTTGACTACGTCACCAGTTTAGAATTCAGAGTCACATTTCGTAGAGCTTGTAGCTACACTCCAGCGTCTGTTGAAAACACTGTGACAAAAGCACTTAGGTGCAGTACTTTCCATGGTCACTGGGGCAGGGACAGGGTGCTGGGCATTACGTACAGTGGAGGAAAAGAAGGAGTCATTAGTTTTCTCTAGGCTGGGAGGAGACTTCACTAGCTGAGCTTCTGTAGTATGAGCTGAGCTGAGCATGCATGGTGGTACACACTTGTCATCCCAGGACTCAAGAGGCCAAGGCAGGAGGATTGCAACTTTCCTGTCAACCTGAGCTATAGCTTGGACTACACAAGATATCTGTCTTTAAAAAACAAACAAACAGGCTAGGGAGATGGCTCAGTAGAATAAGCGCTTCCCTGGCAAGCGCAAGGGCCTGAGTTCAATCCCTGGTTCCGCAAAAAAAAAAGAAAAGAAAAGAATTGGGGCTGGAGAGATGGCTCAGTGGTCTAAAGCACCTACTTAGAACAAGCTTAGCAAAGCATCAGGGACCGCGGTTCAATCCCCCAGCACCACATGCCAGCCAGCCCCGCCCCCCTGGTGGGCTGAGCTGGCCACACACACACCACTCTCTCTCTCTCTCTCTCTCTCTCTCTCTCTCTCTCTCTCTCTCTCTCTCATAAATAAAAAAATTTAAACAAACAAACAAGGTGAGCTGAGTCTTGAAAGATGAAGTGGTGATTTCATGGGCACAGGAAGTCTGGGATAGGAGAGTGCAAGCCCGGGCAAGAAGGCTCAAGGCCGGGGCTTAGGAAGGAGAGACGCAGCATTCAAGGCTAAAAGGTGAAGCAGAGTATGAAGCAGCTCTTCTGTACTACACCACCGCAGGGGCCCAGGATGGAAACAAAGGAGGGCTCACCGTGCTGAAGACTGGAGAACTCACAGGGGAGATGTTGAGGACAAAAGCTGGAGGAAAAACATTTTTCATTGAGAGCTAACATTTGATCATTAGGCTTAACTCCTTTGTGCTGTTAGGAGGACATGGAGTTTAGGAGCACGGATTCCAGAACTAAGTTACTGTGTTCAAATCCCTGTTCTGCCTCTTTTTTTTTTTTTTTTTGTATTGATCTTGGTTGAAAAGCTGAGCAGTGATTTTACCTCAGTCTCTTCATTTGTTTTTTATTTTATTTTTATTTATTTTAAAGAGAATAGAAAAATAATACATAAGACATTAGAAACAATACACAATTTAAAAAAAAAAAGATGATAGATATTCAACAGTGGCTGCTACAATGCGCATTGTCGTCTTCAGTGTAGCTGCGTAGATTACCAGACAGAAGCATGCAAAGCTGGCCAAGTAAAACTTTTAAGCATTAACTGCTACCTTCAAAAAAACTGATGGAAATTAGTAGCACAATCATCCATTATCCTGTATATGCACATATATCATTTTTCCCTTCCTTTTTCTGTCTTTTCTCCTTTATCTCATCCCAATTGTTTATTTCATTTGCTCAATTTCTTTTCCTTTTACTATTTCTATTGTACCTTCCAGATTTTGTTTAATCTTTCAGGTTCTTACACTAGGGAGACAATACAATATTTACACATCTGGGTCTGATTTATTTCATTTATGAGTATAGCCTCTAGTTGCATCCATTTACCTATAAAAGCCTCAAGCTAAGAGCTGGGGAGTTAGCTCAGCCAACTAAGTGCCTGCTTAGGCAAGCACAGGGACCAGGATTCAATCCCTGGTGCCACATGTGGCATCAGCCCCACCCCTGGGCATGCTAAGCCGGCCACTGAGACCATGCCTGGTGGCACATGCCTGTAATCCCAGCACTGGGGAAGCTGAAAATAGGAGGATCACCTGAGTCCAAGCTGCGTAGTCAGACCCTATACCAAATGCATTAAAAAAAAAAAAAAAAAGCCTCAAGCTAATCTCTATAGCTGAGTAATACTCCATTGTGTGAAAATACCATATCTCTTTTATCCATTCCTCAGTTGATGGGCATTTAGGTTGTTTCCAAGATTTAACTATGACAAATTGTGCTGCTTTAAACGTGGGCGGGTATATATTACTGTAGTATGATGTTTTCAGTTCTTCTGGAAAAATACACAGAAGAGGAATAGCTGGGTCGAATGGGACTTCTAATTCTAATTTTTTTGAGGAATCTCAACACTGATTTCCATAGAGGTTTTACCAGTCTATACTCCTACCAACAGTGAAAAAGTGTTCCTTTTCCCCCACAGCCTCTCTAGCATTTGTTATAAGTTCATTTCGTTCTCCCATCCAAGTATTAACCAGGCCTGACCCTGCTTAGCTTCCGAGATCAGACGAGATCGGGCGCGTTCATGGTGGTATGGCCATAGACTTCATTTCTTTCTGGTAGCCATGCTTTCTGGGGTCGGATGGAATCTCAGTGTTGTTTTAATTTGTATTTTTTGAATGACCAGTGCTGTTGAATATTTTTTCACATATTTATTTGTCATTTGTATTTCTTCCTCTAGGAAGTGTTTGTTCATCTCAGATGCCCATTTTTGGATTGGGTCTTTGGATTTTGGGGGCCTGATTTTTTTTTTTTTTTTTAGTTCTTTATATATTCTAAGTTGGTTAAGATTTTTTTCCCCAATTTGTCAGTTTTCTTTTCACTCTGTTGGTAATTTCTTTTGATGTGCAAAAACATTTCAATAAGATGAGATCCTAGTTATGGATTTTTTGAAGGTTTTTTTTTTGTGCAGTTTGATTTTTGTTCGTAAACTGTCTGCCTACTCCTGTCATCAAGAAGCCTACTTGCTTTCTCTTCCAGTAGATTTAGAGATTCTGTTTAAATATTTAAATCTTTAAGGGCTAGCCAGATAGCTCAGCACACTAAAGAGCCTACTTAGGCAGAGTGCAATGGCCAGGGTTCAATTCCTGGCATGCCATGCTGGCCCCGCCCCTGGGGCATGCTGAGACGGCAGAGACTGGGCGTGGTGGCACGCCTGTCATCCCATTGCTTGGGAGGCTGAAAATGGGAGAATCACTATGAGTCCAATCTATGTAGTGAGACCCTGTGGACCCTGTACTAAATGCATTTTTTTTTTTTTTTTTTTTTTTTTGTAACCAGGGATTGAACTCAGGCCCTTGAACTTGCCAGGGAAGTGTTATTAAATACATTTTTTAAAAATAAAAAATAACAAAAATAAATGTTTAAATTGTTAATCCATCTTGATTTTAGGGGCCTGACATGAATTCTCTACCTGTATTAATCAATCCTTGTGATAACACTGTGAAGTATGTATGGTTATTGTTATTCCCATTTTTGAAATGAAGACATGCACTAGACTAAAGTCATTCCCCTTAAGGTCTGTCTGAATATTCTTCTTTTAATATGAAAATACTCTCGTTATAGACCATAATAACAAGAGGCCACTTGCCTCGAGCTTTATAATTGAGATATCATTTCTTAGAGTGTAGAGGTTGATTTTTCCCATTTAGAAATGACTACAGAGACATTCAGGAAAAGGGAGAGGGCTTGCGGGGACTCTGATGTGGTATCTGAGCTGGGCCTTGACTTCATTAGGCCTGTAAATATTTTCCTTTGATGAAAGGAGTCCAAATGAGAACTCTGTACACCTAAGTGTGGGGAAAGGATACTGAAAGGAGGACGAAGGTCCAGAAAGAGGGGCGGCGGCTCCCTGAGGACAGCTTTCTCTTCTTACAGTTTTCCCAGGGTCAGTCTACTGTACTCATTTCCCTTTTCGCTCGCCTCACTAACCAAACATGGAGGCTGAGCTGCTCAACCTGGCCAGCGCCTGCTCGGGCACTTCGGGGGAGCTGAGCTAGTAAGAGGCCTACCTTCTCCTTTGGGTTAATCATTTACTAAAACCATTTTAGCAGTGGCCAATGTGTAAACAGCTGGCCCAGTTTTGCTAATCTGTCAGGTTGAGCAAATATTTGACGAGCAGAGAAAGGTCTTTGCGCAGAATGTACTTTCTTACTTCGCAAGATTCAACAGCCCGAGTCCTGGGAACTGGCACGTGTTCAGCATCTCTCCCAGGTCTCCCCTGGCCAAGTCAGTCACAAGCAGGAGCCCTGGACCTCTCTGTGCTGAACTGGACATTCTGCTTGTTAATCAAATAAATAGCTGGGAAGACCCCAGCTGTTTCTCAGCTCACAGTTCCCTCTTGCCTGACAAGATGGGGGCAGAAGAGGTGGGGAGGTGCACAGCTGAGGAAACGCCCTAGTGCAGGCCGGCAAGACTGTACTGAGGAGATTCTCCAATCAAGGAAGTCGTTTGGGAAAAGAAAGAGAGCAGCTGAGAAATCAGCCCTTCACTGAAAGGCAGGAAAAGATTTTTAATCCTAATCACATCTCCTGTGCCAGTCCCAAAATAAAATAATCTGCAGACACGCAGGTAGTAAGAGTTACTGCCATTTGGTGGGTATCTGCTTACCCCGTGCCAGGCAAGTGTTGGCTCCAAGGTGGGTAATATTATTCCTGCTTTGTGGTTGAGAGACCCTGAGCTCAGAGTGGTTAAGCAACTTGCTTAAGGTGACACAGCTGTCAGCGATGACACAGAATCCAAACCCAGCTCCATCTAGATTCAGATCTCCCTTCACTACACCACACCGCTTGTTGGCTAACACACAGGAAGGGGGAAGCTCCCATCGCTGCCAAATGTTTGTTTGCACTGGGTGAAGTACTTATATTAGAAATAGCAGCAGCAGTAGGAGTACTGCCCTGCGCACTGTGTAAAGCAATTGTTTTGAACAGAGAACATGAATTAAAAAATGACTGGAGAAAAAAAAAAAAAAAACTAAAGATAAGGAGGCAACCGCATAAAAGATTTGATAGTGGGGCCGGGGAGATGGCTCAGTGGAATAAGTGCTTCCCTGGCAAGCGCAAGGGCCTGAGTTCAATCCCCGGTTCTGCAAAAAAAAAAAAAAAAAGATTCAATAGTAAGCATTAAAGCCAGTTCAAAAGCACTAAGTCTAAAATTGTTACAGAGGGGCAGTGAAACTAAATGTGAAAATAGATTCCTAAGCTAGATCTAAAATTTTCAGCTTATGTAGTTTTAAATGGTCGAAGAGCATGCCAAGTAATCAGTGTAGTGGCAAAGATGCATGTTGTTAATCAAGTCGAATATATGAAAAATAAAAGTTTTTTCATCATCATGGACAGGACATATACTGTAAAAAGTCTAAATGCTAATCTGGGTGGGGGGCGGAACCGGGGATTGAACTCAGGTCCTTGCACTTGCCAGGGAAGCGTTTTTAAATGCTAATCTGATGAAAGAAAAAATGGTATAATTTTATTTCTCTTACTTTTAATTACAACAGAATAAAATTAGCATGTTTGTTCATAATGTTTAATAATTTTATTGAGAAACAAATAGCAATGAGACAGTTTCAAAACTGATTACTAGCACAGTTTCAATAATTAATACATTGCATATTGGAGTCTTAGTGATTATCCATAGTACAAGATGCAGACATGATATCCTGTCCACAAACACTATTAGAATAAATCTCTTTATTCATTGCATTAAGAGAATGCAGCTGTATATCTATCTTATTTTGAATATACAAATGCAAGATAGTCATTCATTTGTACCCCCTTTTTTGTTTAGTTTTTTCAGAGATGGGTATTCCATTGCCATTTAAATATAGTAGGTGCATGAATTCAGCAAAATAAGCCAATATAGTTCAGTAGTCCATAATAGTAGTGGGTTATTTTTTTTAATTTATT